AAGTTGATTTTCTCAACGTGTATAACTATTATAAACTTTCTGAATTGTTATAAACTTTTCATCAATCTCGCCCAGATTTTACAAACTTTCGAGTTTAATTTCCTCGACAATCGTCTAAGAACGCCACAGTTTTTCTCCCATCTTTCTCGTTCAACTTTTCGCACAGGATTGTCCCGGTGTTTCGCTAGTTTTTGCACTTCTTGCGCGTTCGACGATGTTTTGCCACTCTCGCCGGAGGCTCCAACGCCACAAAGAAAAATCTCTTTGATTATGATAATGGAACACCGCAAAGGAACGAGGGAACACGTTTCCCACGGATGGAAACGACGAATGGGTACTTTCTTTCAGAAAGAAAGACGTTTCTCGCGTCGGTAAACGGATCATTAGTCACCAAACAATTTTTTAACAGGATCCAGTATCGTTTCTTCGGATCGCTGCCGCAGTTTCTAAGCGACCCGAATTTGTGGAAAGTGCTGGGATCGAGGTAAACTCGTCACCTGGAGGGAGAGAAACAAAAAAAGGAAGAAAAAAAAAAAAAGAAAACTAGGAACGCCGCTCAAAGACCAATACGCAAGAGGAGAAAAAAACTGATCTTGGAGAGACAGTCGACTAAATTTTTCCTTCCTCGGTGGTTTTCTAGCAATCTGTAGAAAGCACACCGTAGTTCAGAGACTCTCTTTGCGAACTGCCGTACAGAAGGTCACACGTTTGCTCGAACAGAGTGGACAGGAAAAGTGACTGGACGTTTCAAGAGTTTTTCTTCTTCTTCTTCAACTTTTTTCTTCTTTTCGTTCGAGAATTATCGCCAATTAAGAGGAAAGTAGGTACCCAATGATTGGATTTTTCGACGACTGAAAGAAACTCGAATCATGGGAGAACCTTTCTTTGGTAGTCTCAAGTATCACATCTTCAATTATGATCGTAGTTTCTTTGTAAAAAAATGAAATGACAAAGTGACGAGTGGAATGGAATGTTTGCGTGGAATTTTATGTTTTCTACTTTTGCCAGTCAAATGAACAGAATCGGAGAATCCATGGCACTTCTGAAATTCTATCAAACAGAAATGTAAGTGTTTCTAAAATGAAACTTTTTCATTAAGCAAAAACTTTTAATACATTCTCTGTTGAAACTTTATAAATTTTATAAGCTTCAATTCGAGGAACTGTTTCGTCCAAAAATAATATATAATATTCTACAATATATAGTTTTATATAATATTATATATTATATAATATGCTACAATATATAGTTTTATAAATATACTGTATTTTAGACCTAACCCAACCCATTATTCGTCCGAAAATATAACTATATTCTACATATTTATAAAACTGTATTCTACTGTATTATACGTGTATGTGATCTACGTATGTAACGTATGATATAGAAACGTGAATATGAATTAAAGAAATTACATTAGCAGAAGTATAAATACGAGTGGAATGTTACAAAACCATGGTACATATATACCTTCGTTGCACCGTGACCTTCTGCGTTTGAAGATGATGGTCCCGAGGCAACTGGACCAGGAGCTCCATGCTACCGGCCAGCATGTCTGCTGGTGTGTCCTCGGTCACGGTTAGAACCATTCTTGATGATCTCTCCTCTCTAATCCTGAAAGTCGAGAGAGAAATTTTTCGTTAGAAAGAGAAGAAAAAGGGGGAGAATTTTTCATTGGAAAGGAAGAAAAAAAAAAAGAATCGAACAACTTTTAAGATTATTTAAAAAAAAAAAAATTCAACTTCGTCATAAAATAAATATAACCACAATTACCGAAAATTGTACCAAAAAAAGGTGACAGATTCCAAAAAAAAAAAAAAAAAAAAAAAAAAAGAAAAAAAA